CTTTGGTTCTTGGTGACGTGGGGCGGTCAGATCTTGAGTTCTGTGGGTGGAGTGCTGAGAACTTGAGCTTTGGTACTTGGAGGCATAGGGGGTGTGCTTGGGTTCTTGGGGGGTGCTTGGGCTCATGGGGAGGAGGATGTTCAAAACTTTGGGCAACCCCACCTTGGGTTCTTGGCCATAGGATCCCAGCCTTGACTTTGAGTCCATCTGATGTAACTGAAGTACTGGGCAGGTCGGGTTTTCCTTCTCCTTTTTGTATTGTTCCTGAATCTCTGTCCTGTGTGGTGTACCCCAGCTATACGATTTGCCGGTTGGCACTAAGTGAGCGGAGGCGAGGCCTGTGTAGATACTCTAGGTAGAAGTCTTTCACGCTCTATAACCATCATTTGCTTCTTCCTGCAGATTGGAGATCATGGCCCAGTTTGTCTTTGAAAATGACATAAACAGCATCCTCAAGCTGGATGCACCAATCACAAACGCTCCCCTGGCACGGTGGCAGCGGAAGGCGAAGGAAGGCAACTGCTCTTCTGCCAATACGTCCGTCAACACCAGCGTCTTATCACCAATGAAGGCTGCAAACAGGTCGCACAGCTCCAGCAAGACCCCATCCAAAACTCCAGGTGTGTGTGCTTGCTACAGCCTTGATGTGTGTAGGATATGGGCAATGGTGCTACTCAGACTGGCATTCCTGGGAATGGGTCAGGTCCTGGGCACAATGTAACCCCTGCACAGGACTCTTAAGTGGCCACCCAATGGCGGTGGGACCCGAGAGTTGACTGTGAAGATGGTGGCAAGGTGCAGTGGTCATGTATGCCTGGACCAGTCATTGCTGGAGGGAGGTATTGAACATTGAAGCGACTGTTTATAGTTTAGGACCATGAGGGGAGGGGGGATGCTTGGATCTCAGAATGGAGCCCCCTGGGCTTGGTTTTGCAGGGTGACCTTCATGGGATGTGAATGTACATACCGGTATCACTTGGGGGTTTGCAGCCACTGTATTAGGCCTGAGATGAGCACATGTTTAACAATGGTGGCATATAAAATAGTCGGGTTCTTTAGAAAACTGGAGGAAGTTGGCAGGAAAGGAATATTACTGGTGAAGGCCGGGACAGGAAGTGGCTCCCCTTCCACCTCCTGAAGAGTTTCATCTGTAGCGACTTGCATTCTGTGAAGTTGTCCTTGATGGTCCGGAGCAGGATCATGGAACCCTGAGGGACTGCCAAACAACTTGGCTGCTTTGACTACAAAAGCAATGCCGGTCAATCTAAAGACCCAAAATCTTTTTTTGCATGGCCCCTGTCAGTTTTTGTGTTCCTGCTGACTCCTCCCCTAGACTAAGTGAGGGGGAAACACTAATTTTGAGTTGTCACCAGAACAGGAATAGAGGGGAAGTCATCAATGAGAACACTTGTTAGGGGCTGTTACAGGGGGGTTTAGTTCACTTGGGATACATTACCCTCTTACTTCCTGTTGTATGCATGGGGCAGGAAATGGAAGTGAAATCTCTCAAATAGTATGGGGGAGGCTGGGTTGTCTTTTATGGGTTTTAACTAGGGATGCACCGATAATAACGGTATTTTGGTACTGGGTACCGATAAAAAAAAATTCGGTACTCGCCGATACCAATTACTGAGTACTGGCAGTTTCATTCAGGAAGACCGGTGGCGTGTAATGACTCCACCTGAATTCCTGATTAACAAGAAAGCCGTCCCATACGAAGCCCCATAATAATCATATGATCAATGCTTGGCCCGGTGGGATCTCTGTCGCCTCGCACCTCGGCATGTCCAGCCTGCCTCCACTACCCAGCTTAACGAGGCAGCATGAAGCCAATCAGAATGCCGGGCACTGCGTCATTACATGGCTGCCTGATTGACCAGATTTCTGACCATATCGGGCAGCGCGTCATTGCACGCTGCATGGCTTCCTGATGTGACGAGAGAGCATGGATGCGGCTTCCCGGCCAATCGGGAAGCCGGGCAGCATGTAATGCCGCACTGCCCGGCTTCCTGATGCAGGAAATATCGGGCTAGGCATCGGAGCATTACATACATACGAGTACTCGCCCAAATACTCTATCGATACTAGTATCGCTGCGTCCCTAGTTTTAACCATTCCCTGCTCTAAAGTGGCTTGTTGGGTGGTCCTATGGTGAGGTGACATTAAAGCTGTATTGTCTTTCAGGGAAGTCCCAGGGAAAACTGCAGGGCACCCCGTCCAGAGCTGGAGGAGATCGATTCATTCCTAATCGGAGTGCAATGCAGATGGATGTGGCCAGCTTCCTACTGAGCAAAGAGAATGAGCCTGCCGACCAATCTCCAACCAAGAAGGTATGACCTGAAGATCTGAACACAAGTACTTGGTGTATACCGGATCTGCATGTTCTTTTCTATATCAGTCCGGTTTGCTCTGACTTACTGCAATCTGTCCTCTCTTTCCAGGAGCATCAGAAGGCTTGGGCTGTCAACCTGAACGGCTTTGACATGGAAGAGGCAAAAATCCTGCGGCTCGGTGGCAAATCCTTGAATGCCCCTGAAGGTGTGTAGAGATGAGGATGCTGTTCTCGCATGTTCTGTATTCATAGCTCGCACTGTGAATAGTCTGCACTCCTAACGGTGTTTACAAGCTATTGTGTCCGGGTCTCCCTGCACCCCCCTGGGGCTGGTTCAGCCACCTCCAGTCTCCTATCAGACTTCTGGGCTCTTGGCGTTCACAAAATGTGCTAAAAAGTCGATCGGGATGTTTTATCTGTAGTGTTTAGAAGACTACCCCCCTTCCCCCATTTTTTAATAGTTTCTAACTATTAGAATACAGAGTTGTTTACTGGCCCAGTAGTTTAACTCCATGTCAAGGGTGCTGGGGAGGGGATGGGGAAAATATTGGCAGGCTTGCTCCAGCCCTGCAGCTTGCTAGGGTTACACATGAGATTGGAGGGTTGCTTGCCTTAAGGAGATGGAGGGTCATCGGCAAGGAATTCCTAATCTAGTTTTGAATTGTATTGCAACTGTAATGTCTTCCTTGTATTGTAAGGCGCAGTGCAAACTGTTGGCTATATATTCCCTGAATAATGTGGCTTGATAGGTGAAGGGTCACAGGGTTGTGGCTCAGAGATGCGCAGTAACTGCTTCCCACAATCATGTTTTTAATGAACTTTTTTTGCAGGTTATCAAAACAACTTGAAGGTTTTATACAGCCAAAAAGCAACCCCTGGATCCAGCAAGAAACCCGGCCGGTACATCCCATCCATGCCAGACAGAGTCCTCGATGCTCCTGAGATCAGAAATGATTATTGTAAGTCACGTCCGGGGTGGTGCTTGGGGGAGTCCCTGTTTTGTGTCATTGCTCTAATTCCTGTCCATGTTTCAGATCTGAATCTGATCGATTGGAGCTCCCAGAACATGCTGGCCGTAGCACTGAATGACTCGGTCTACCTCTGGAACTATACGAACGGAGAAATCCTCCTCCTATTGCAGATGGAGAATAATGAAGAGTACATTTCATCCGTCTCGTGGATCAAAGAGGGGAACTATCTGGCTGTGGGGACCAGCAATGCTGAAGTGCAGGTGCGTTTAATACTTGTATGTTGGGAGCTTAACTGAGAACTATGCGGTGAGTGTACTTCACTTCTCCCTGTAGTTTGAAGCTGTCACGTGTCAGCTGGATTGTTCAAGGAGAAAACGTTCTGCTTCTCTCACTTTCCAATCTTCCTTCAGATCAGTCAGCGGGGATGCACAGTTTTGATCAGTCTCGTCTGTGGCGTTCTTGCCAGGGGAAAATGGCCCACTATATACTGAGTTTTGGGTCACTGGATGATGCAAGTATATATTCTCCCATGACTACAGAGAAATATGGGGGGGAGTTACCCCATAGTTCTTCTTTAAAGGAGAACTATGAGGCGAGTGCTTTTCACTCACCTCATAGTTCTAGCCGACCTGTGACAATGACACTGTCACAGGTCGGCTCAGTAGATCAGGAAGTGAGGGAACACATACCGGCGTTCGCTCACCTCTCGATCCTGTCGCGGCTCTCTGCCGTGACAGGGGAGGGACTGGATTCTCCCCACTCCGATCCTCCAGCGCTGACTGGCGGAACGGACGGGGGAGGGTACAGCTGGCACTGCCTCTAGATAGGCAGAGCCAGCTGTCAGTCACGCAGCTGGGAGGATCCCGGCACAATTGTCGGCATCCGCTTCAGCTGCGGCGTCTCACTATACCGCGAGCTGTAGCCTAGGGTGACGGGAGGAGGCTAGTTTGTGTCCTCCCCGTTACCCTAATGAGAACAAGCCTTAACCCCATAGTTCTGCTTTAACTAGAGCCATAGCAGACCAGACAACTATCGGCTATAACTATAGCATTCAGCAAATCAGCTTTGATCAAGTAACAAGTGTTGGGACCAGCTGTGACAGATGAAGGCAATTGGTACTGTGTATCGCTAGAGTTGCACTTGGGATAGAAATTGGAGGCAGTGTGGCCCCTCATTGATTTTGCTATGGGGCCGTATCGCATAGTTCTGCAGGTATTGTACATGATTATTGGCAGATACCCATCACTAACCCTCCTACCTTCCCCAGCTCTGGGACGTTCAGCAACAAAAACGTCTGCGCAATATGATTAGTCATTCATCACGTGTTGGTGCTTTGAGTTGGAATAACCACATCCTGTCCAGGTGAGTCTGATCAACACGACTGTATACATCCTGTATAGACCAGCAATGGCAGAGCTTCCACCTGATGAGGCCATTTCTGAACCTGTACTCAGTATGGAGGGGGAGGCATGTTTTCTCCCTCTAGACCAGAGCCCTGGCTGGCCTGTTGGGGGTATGACTGGGCCCTTGTGTGCTCATCTCTCTGCTGGTGGTTAAATGAACCATGGTACCATTACAGCTGACCCACATGACATTTCAGGCAAAGTAACAGGTCTCTCAATGTATCATTACTCTGGATATATTTACCCGCCGTGCAATATCCTAGAATTGTTTAAAGTTGGAACTCCGGTCTTTCCTCCAGTCCTGCACCATTGTAGATACTTCACTGCACATGGCCTTTTGGTGTGCATTAGAAACTGCTATAAGCCACAGCCCACCTAATTTCCGGGCTGCTGTAGGACATCCAGTATTAAACACTTTCCTCCCCAGCCTGACTGTCCCTGGCCTACCCCTTTCATTGTATTTCAGCTCTTTTAATTCTGGAGGCTCAGAATCATGGGTTGGTGTTGCCAGGGGCAGTCTGCATGCAAATGCCACCAGCCTATAAATGGCCCCTTGCTACCCCACCCATCAAAGCATTTGTATTTGCATAACTCCTCCCAAAGAATCAGCCCGCTGCTTGCACCAGGGATAAGGCTCTTGAGGTCCAGTACTGTAGCAGGAATCTATGTAAACCACCCTGCCAGCCCCTCCACCAGTCATGATCTGTCGGCATTGCATACACAGACCCACTGATTACCACCATAGAATGCAAAATGTAATTTAGGAATTCTCTTTTTTTTTTTTTTTACCTTGTGTACATCTTTTGACTGTTTTTAATACGGATCCTCTGACACTTTGGTTTGGTATCTCAGTGGTTCTCGGACTGGTCACATCCATCAACACGACGTGCGGGTTGCTCAGCATCACGTCGCCACACTGTCTGGGCACTCGCAGGAAGTCTGCGGCCTTAAATGGTCTCCGGATGGACGTTACTTGGCCAGCGGGGCAAATGACAACCTGGTGAACATCTGGCCTTCTGTCCAGGGGGATTCCGCAGAGTTCACACCAGTGCAGACCTTCACACAACACCAGGGAGCGGTCAAGGTGAGCCCGTCCTTCAGGTAACATGGCAGCCTGCTTCTTGTAGGTTGCGATCAAATCTGGTACTTTGCTTTACTGTCTCAAATAGGTCTGTATCAATGTTCTTACTATTGTGCTAGCTTAATGTGCCCTCTGAATAGGGGCAAGCTCTGCTTTTTAGAGAACCTGACTTGGCATTTTAGTGTAATATACTGTGAAAGACCAAGATACAGACTTTGCAATTTACATCAAGATCCTTAACATACATGAAAGTGCAAAGACTGCTCAAATTGCCTGGCTCCTCCCCTTCAAAAATCTCATTGTTGGTGCCCTATAAACTCCTATAAAAGTCCAAGGACCTGTAGCACTCCTTACGGGAACTCCCAAACATATATAAATATATGATATACTTTGTTATTTAAAATTCACTTAATTATCATTGTTTAGCGCTGCACATTCAGCACTTTATCAATTTTCACCCCAGGGTTCAAAGCGCAGCAGCTTCCACATCACAACTCACCCATAAGCACAGATTTTACAATTCTTTGCATTCAGCATAATAAAGTATAGGAACGTCACCAGCACGACTGACTTGGATGTCAGTCATTACTCAAGTGTCATCAAGCACTTTCGGGACCGCGCAGTGTCCCCTTCATCAGGCTCATGGTTTTTACTGAGCCTGATGAAGGGGACCCTACGTGGCCCCAAAGCACATTTGCCCTGACATCCAAATCTCTGTGCTGGTGACATTCCTATACTCTATAAACTCCTATGGGGCTGTGTCCTGGGAACTTCAGACACTGCTATAGTCTATATGGTACAAGCCACCCCCGTGCATTATAGCCCCAAACACCTGTGGTGGGTGTAAATTGAGGTGCCACATCAGGACTGCAGTATGAATGTGGGGGGGGGTAGGGTGGTCGGGAAGAGCACAAAAAGGCCCTTTACTTTATTGAGCAACTAGAAGAGTTCCCCAGTGTGCATAGGAATGCTGACTCTCGCTCTCCTTTAGGCTGTGGCCTGGTGCCCGTGGCAGTCCAACATACTGGCAACTGGTGGTGGAACAAGTGACAGACACATCAGGATCTGGAATGTGTGCTCTGGAATGTGCCTAAATTCTGTAGACACTCACTCCCAGGTAAATGACTGCAGCTGGTCTGTCTTTTCTTTGGCTCGCAATGGTCTGCTGTTACTAAAGCCCCCTCTTCCCTCTAGGTCTGCGCCATCCTGTGGTCATCAACGTACAAAGAACTCATTTCTGGCCATGGGTTTGCACAGAACCAGCTTGTCATCTGGAAATATCCCACAATGACCAGAGTTGCAGAGATGAAAGGTAAGATGGCTGCAATACTCGGACTTGGTAGAAGTATATTTGGGTGCAGAGATGGATCAGTATGTAACATTTGCTAGTTATTGATTTTAACCCCTTCATGACTGAGGCCTTTTCATTTTTTGTACCCATGTTATGTTCCACATTTTAGGCCTGAAAATTACTTAAAACCCCCCAACATATATTTTCTGAATGCCAAGACCCTATAGAATAAAATGGTGGTAGTTGCAAATTTTTATGTTGCGGAATATTAGCGCAACTCCTTATTAAACCCCAATATTTAGTGAGAAATAATATGCCCAGGTTACAAATTGCGTGCATCCGTAAAACTGCGAAAAACTCCAGTACCCCAAAATGTCCATAGACTCTTTAAAAGCCTCCACAGGTCATCAATTTAGAGATACCCCCAAAATACTGGCCTTAGAATTATTGCTCTCGCTCCGGCATGCGCGGCGATACCCAACATGTGTAACGCGTTCGTCGTTTTCATACGTAGGCGCACCCGACGTGTGTTTACGTGGCGACAGGTGGGGGCGGGGGACTTTCAAAAAATTTGCTGGCGACGTACACTGTACGTCGTCAGTCACGAAGGGGTTAAAGCTACCTCCAATACCTTGTTTTGATACTTTTATCATGTTTGCACTAGGCTAGCTCACCTATACAGCTCCATGATATGGAGGGGGTGGGGGGGGGAGGAGAGATGCAGACTCGGGGAGCTTACACCAGGTCCACATATCCCAAGAGTTCTTTGGCTTCATGGTGACCTGGGGAGCATCAGAATGCTGTAGGCATTTGAATGGATTGACATTCCTAGGCACTCCCTACCTCCAGCAGCGTGGTGGGATAACGAGTCTGCAACAATCTGACCACGGCGGGGGGGAGATGTAACGTGTCTGCAACAATCTGACCACAGGGGTACAGGCAGTGTTGGCATCTTGTGTCTCCTAAGATGACAACTGACAATTCTAAGACGTGCTTGGTGTGAGAATGAAATGAAAGGGGGACATTTCTGAGGGGACTAAGGATCAGAAGGTATTTACTTTTACAGAAAGTATTAAAGATTGGCTGTGTGAGGAAGGAAAGCAGTCTCCATCTTCTATATTTAGGGGTTGGGCTACCACCTCCCTAGTGTGGCCCTACATGGGGGCAGTTCATTGCATATGTCTGCATTGCCACTTTGGTGGGGAGGGCGTTTGGAGGGATTTCATAAGGATGTGGCCGTGATGGATGCTTGCAAATGGTCTTCATGCAGAAGCTTTAGGTCCGTGATGGTGAACTTTGGGCACTCCAGCTGTGCCAAAACTACAAATCCCAACATGCATCTGCCTCTGGGAGTTGTCTGTGGCTGTCGGAGCCTTGCAATGACTCATGGGACTTGTAGTTCCAGAACAGGAGTGGCAAGGTTCGCCACCACTGCTTTAGGTGTTTATGTAACTTTAACACATCTGGGTATCTTGTGAGTTTGGTATGAACATGTGTCCTATTAGGGAACTACTGTAGCACGGTACCTTATCTGCAGCCTTGTTTGTCCTCCCCAGGTCACAGCGCACGCGTCCTCAATCTCTCCATGAGCCCAGACGGCTGCAGCGTGGCCTCTGCCGCAGCAGATGAGACATTGCGGCTCTGGAAGTGTTTTGAGGTGGATCCCGTCGCAAAGAAGGAAAAAGAGAAGGCCAGGAGCAGCAGCAAAAGCATCATCCACCAGAGCATCCGATGAGACCCGATCGCCACTTGTTTTTAATCCATATCCTATTACAATGTAAATATTTGAAATAAAAGTTTCTGTATTGTACTGTAAATGCATCGAAAGAAGAATTCCCCGTTATCACGTCACTGATGTCACTTGTTTTAATTGACCACTGTATAAAAAAAAAATCTATTTATAAATGGATGCCTAGAATACTGACTCCACGTTTTGTATGGACAATGTTCAATTAAACACTTTTTTTTTTTTAAATGTAACAAGTTTGTGACAATGTTCTAGTGGGGGTGGTCACTTGGTTAAGAGCCTGCTATAGGTGGAAGGGCCATATTCTGTATCATACCGTCGTAGGTCTAAGTGGGTGACAGCTGGGGGGCACTTAACGGGCTTTACACAGTTCCTTTTTATTTTTTTTATTTTTTTTTTTTAAAGGGGCTCCATCTATACATGGCTTTATATTTTCCAGCCTCCCTCCCGTGCCCCAAAAGGGGCAGGGAGAACATTTGCAGGACACCTTGTAATTCCATTGCATTGTTGTCGGCTTGAGTTCACTGGGTTTCTCATAGCTCACAGGTATTTGGTATTAAGTTTGCATGTATTAGAGAGTCTGGCCCAGGTGTACATTTTAGATGGTTGGGGTGTTCAATGGCTTCATGGTCTGGAAAGGTAACACCGGATCCGCACAATAAAACTTCCATCCATGTAAACTGGTTTTTACTAATGTCTAATAAAGATGTGACAAACTAATGTTGGCATGATCATTGAGCTGCAGAGTCTTGGCTGTTTTATCAGTGGGAGCGCTAAAAGCTTCTCTACTGGGATTTTCATACACAACCATCTCTCGGGTTTAGGGAATAGTCCAAAAAACAAAATCCAGTGAGTGGCAGTTCTCGAATATTAGGGATGCTCAGATACCTTGGCATGTTCACAGGAACTACCAGGGTTGCAGCTGGCTCTGGTGCTCAACCACTGTCCTGTAATCATTCTACTTATCCACCTCCCTATATCTCCTCCCTGCGCCACTCGCTCAGCCTTCTGTGACAGCGTGTCAGAGAGGAGAGCGGGTACAAGCAGTCAGTGATCGCGGAGTGTTTGTAGATAATTGAGGACATGGTATGGTTACTATATCATCAATTATGAATGAATGGGAAGTGATCTACATCCCCCCCTGTTCATTCATGATTGTGGTTATAGTAAACACACTGATGTTGTGAATGATTCCTGTTCATTGATAACAGGGGCTGCAGAAAGAGATTGAGGGCTCTGTCTCTTTCTTTAAAAGGGAAATATCGGGTCTGTTTAGACCCCCTAATTCCCAAAAGCCCCTAAAAGTGATGTAAAAGAATTAATGAAAAAAATTAAAATCTATATTTTTAAAAATAAACCTTTTTGGTTTCTGCGTGAATTTTTTTTATTTCGGTTTTAAAATCTTTCCATTTCGGTGCACCTTATTTTTAACCTTGGCAGTTAGGCCCCATTCACACTGAGCGACATGAAAATCGTGTGATTTTCAGCACGATATTATATGTGATATTGTGCGACTTGTCCCTATTGGGCTGTATGCAATCAGGAGCAAAATCGCTCAAAATCCACAGAAAAAAGGTCATGTAGGAGTGGCAAGGTGATATTGAGATGTGAACAGCTCCATTGAAATGCATTGGAGAAGATAGAGCGATATCGCTGCAAAAATCTCTGTGTGAATGGGGCCTAAGATGGGATTTTTTGTTTTTTATTTTTTGCATGCTGGCTTGTGAGTGTGCTGGGAACCGTTTTGCTGTTGTACTGTGTAAAGCCCTTCCATGTGCACATTGCCTTATAGCTGGTTATAAATTGACGAGTGTTTTGCCATTTGTTTTGGATATTTTCTTGGCACACTTTGGGCCCCTTAGAGGTGAGCATCGTTTTAATGCCACAGCTTGCCTTAGTATTATTGCTGACCATATCCATCCCTTTATGACCACAGTGTTACCCATCTTCTGATGACTACTACCAGCAGTGTGACGTGTCATGTGACTAACCTAAAATCATCTGAAACTGGTTTCTTGAACATGGTAATGAGTTCCCTAGAACTTAAAGGAGAACTATGAGGGGGGGGGGGG